AGGCAAAAAATAATTGATATAGCAAGTGTTTATTGTGCTTGTGCTTGTGTGAATGTGTTTTGTACATACATTTCTGTTCTTATTTGACGTTAGTTTTGTTGTTGCCATTCTTTGGACTAAAAATTTGGTTTTTTGCGTTCCTTTACTTTTCCTGTTATTCTCTTTTAGTGAGCGCATTTTGCTTACGCTCTGGCATTTTGACACTTTTCAGATTTTAGTCCAAAAAGATAAGGAATGAACCTAATGATATAATAAAATATTCCGCATTTCCGGCGGCGATGAAATATCTCAAGTAAAAGTAAACAAAGCCGAATGGGGGGATAAAATAAACTGTAAAATCGTAAATTTTCTCAATACTAAACTGTGCGGATAGCGGTCCAAAAATACTACGTTGAGCAATTTTTTAGTTTTATTTTTGTCGCGTGTGAAGTCGGTTGTTTTGTGATTGGTAAAATCGAAATAATGAGTGATATTGAAACAGAGGACAAAACGCAAGACGACGGCCTGTTAAAATTATTAACAGATTTTAATTTGCCTGATGTGCTTCCTTATTTAAGCGGTAAGTGAGATGAAAATTTTCCACACTAAAATTCAAGTAGTTTTTGTACATGAAAAAATTTGCAAAGTTATTAACGTAAATAGTCATAAAATATGGATCGCAGTTGCGACCATAGCCAAAAGTGAATTTGTTTAAATCGTAAATGTAATTTACATGGTAGTGCGTTGAAAATATAACTAATATAGTAACTAATATAACATACGTATGTATGTATACATAACTTTTGTTTGTGGAAAGTTTTTTAAGAACGTTAGGTGTCATGATTTTTGCAAAATCCCTGCCGTTGGCATGTCCAGAGCCTTGTGAATTTCGCTCGTTTAGGTTGTTCACAATAGTATATTTTTCACCGCTGAGAAGCTTTGTTTAAAAATCGAGCAAACTAAATAGTGTGCTTATACATATTTATGTAAATTTGTGTAAATAAAAACGAAATATAAAGGAAAGCGAGTTAATAAAAACGTGGTAAAAATTAGTACAACGGAGTTCTGGTTGAACGATTCGTCAGAGGATGAGAGCATAGATTATTGGCCAGGAACAGAAAACGTTTAAGGGCCGGTTTTTCAGTGCCAGTTTAAACTTAGATTAAGTAAGCTGAGTTTAAATTTAACAGCTGGCTGGCATTGGAATGGCTGATCTTAGTTTAAACCAGCCAGATCGGGCGTTTAAACTTAGTTTAAACCACGGCCGTGCACTGATAAACAGGCCCAAAGAGAGTTTAAGCGTAGTATTTTGAATATATTTTGACATACAATATATTT